AAATTCATTTCTTTTTATCTTAAGAATCGACCATTACCTTCATTTAAATGGACAAAAACATCAAATAATACACATGGTTATATTCGTGCTGTAGTTGATTTTAGTGTTGGTCCTAAACCAATCAATGTTCTTGGTTATCATGCTCGTACACTCAATAATAAACGGTAGAGGATACATCAATAATAATGATTTCAAATTCAGGTGAATATCTTTTTTATCTATTTAATAGACGTGATTTTCGTCTCGTCATTGCTGATCCAAATCATCCAGGCAAAGTTATGGCAAATCCTGTTATTTGGCTCAAAAATGATGTTGTAATCGAGGTAAACTATAATCATCTTGTATCTAATAATTTGAATATATTTCTTTAAATTATTTAGGCACAAACTCCTACAACCACTGTGTATTCAGTAACTATTGCAAATCCATTGAGTGGTTGGGAAGCTTTCTTTATTCAAGCAAATTTTCCTGGTCCAGATGGTACAGCACTTGAACTTACAACAGAAACACAAATTATTCCGGATACATATCCAACTAGTGATTGTCATGGTGCTGATTGTAAGGGCACACTTGTTTGATTTTTCTTGTGTGTATCCTAATTTTAAATGATAATAAATAAAATTGATTAAAATCATCATTTTTTCATATTTTAAATAAATCTATTAATGATTTTATTAAATGAAAGACAGTAAATATGATACAGTCTATATCGAAAACAAAAAAGTAAAGGATATATATTTATATATCTCTTTGTATTTCGTACATAAAAAATGATTGTCAATTTTTTGTACGTACTATATTCGTATAATTGACAATGAACATACATGATATTTTTTTTCGATTTTTCTTCCATGTATACAAATAGATTAAAACAAAAAAAAATTAAATTAATTAAAAAAAACAAAAGTTTTTTTTTTGTTTCAGTTGATTGTTCATTTCGTTTTTTGGATCAAATCTACAATATGAATTTTATGTTAAGATATATTAAATCTATTTGTACTTAATAATCATTCAATTAATATGGTCCTTGAAGCCATGGTAACTGTAGAAGAGTATTTAATTGTGGACGACGATATGCATTTCTACTTAAACATTGTCTCATTGTTTCATATGCTTGTCTATCTGGTGATGAATATGCTAGATGTAATCGACCATTAATAATATCGGATTTTGAACGAAATGGAAATTGTCGAAAAAGCAAAAAATAAAGGCAAATACCTAATGTCCATACACATGCTTGTTCACCATCATAACGTTTTTCTAATATCCATTCAGGTGTCATAATTTCTAATGTACCCTTTAAGAAATACACAAAGAAAATGATTAAATTTTAAATAAAATTTATAAAACAAACTTGAAATTCATAAAAATCTCCAAATCGTGCTGGTGCAGCTGAACCAAAATCAATAAAACGTAATGTTCGATCATTTCTACAATAAAGTATATTTTCAGGTTTACAATCACGATGCCAAACACCATTATTTTGTAATGATGCATTAATACGAATTATTTCTCGAAATATATGTCTTAATAATTCTGTATTAGCTAATGGAGGACATTCCATAACAAAACTGAAAAGCGTACATGAATATGGAATTTTTTCCATTATAAATATAAAACGATCTCTTTCTTCAAAATGATCATATATATTTATAACACCAGGTAAACCACGAAGACGCCAAAGAACTTCAATTTCATATGGAACACGTTTCTATCGAAAAACAAAAAAATTATTCATTTCGTTTTGATATTCTTAAATATTGAATTACATACGCCTTGATATGTTCCCCAATTAAGAATACGAGCTTTTGGTAAGATTTTCACAATAACAGCACGATTGTCTGCTTTTCGTCGTCCATCATGAATTTGACCAAAACCTCCTATACTTACACAACCTAATACCTGATAATCACGAACGAATGGATTTGGCGGTTTTTTCAATCTCCTCAATGAATTTTCAAGAACTGATGCAGGCATCGACGGAAAACGATAAGAATCAAATATATTATCACCAGTCAATGTTCGTATCTATAACAAAAAAAAAATTATAATAAAAATTAATCAACAAAAAAAAAAAAAATTTTTTTTTTCTTACTAATCCAGCGACAAATGGAACGGTAGTATCCGCAAGTGAAGCCCTCGAAAGATTGAAGTTACTGGAAACACGTTGTAGAGGTGGTGGTGGTGGCGCACGCAATGGCGCAGATTGTCCTCTCCATAAATCATCAAACAACCAGCGAACCATACCTATTCTATAAACAAAAACAATATAGATCTATATTTTATTTGAAAAACTAGAAAAAGAAAACGATTTAAGATAATATTTTTCTATCTATGATGAAATAATACATTCTCAATTAAATATTTTTATATAGCATAGAAAATTGTGAATATATATTTATACTCATGGAATAACCTAGGTCATTCATATTTGTTAGTATAAAATGAAACAATATCCATGATAAGACGCTTCTATATACATTAGTTTTACGCTTCAATAAACAATATGAAAATGACGTTTAATTACAATCAATCCTACTCATCTACACGTATAAACATTGTTATTGACATTTACAAAAATCTCACTTATTTATTCTATCAAATAGTCGAATAAATTTTGTTTTAAACAAAAAAAAAAAGAATGTAAAAGAAAAAACATATTTTAATGACTTGCTATTTAAAATAATTCTTTTTTAAGGACATTATCCTTGGTGTCCTCCTTTTTTTTTTATCTGATTAATGAGCATAGCATACCAGACGGATTGATAAATATCGATTTTTTTTGTATATTCATATTTTTTTGGCCTTGCATGCTACTCAACTATTTGAATCGTCTCGGATAGATAAACAATGTCTTCCAATAACGATACATATGTAACAATCCGTTCATGCGAATCACCGGTATCTAACATAGGATTTCTGTCTTGTTCAATATAGTTGATAGAAAGTGTCAAAAAAAAAAAAAACTTTAAATATCATTCAGTCATATGTCATTATATTTTTAGACAAGAAATACAACTTCTATAAAGCAAACATCACTTTTCTTTAGAATAGAATATTAAGATAAAAATTGTTTTTATAGCATCAAATATTTACCTATACAGGTATGATAAGAAATCCCTAGTTGTTATCTTGATTGCTTAGTTTTCTATAGAATACCACTTTCATTCTACCAAAAATATCATGTGGTTACAAAAAATGGCATTAAGCAATAATTTTTTTTAATATATATTATTATATAAAACACTTTCATGTTATTTATTAGTCAGAGAAACTCTCAATAATTATAAGAAATGATTCAATTGATAAGTTATATAAACACATATGTAATTGTATCGTCATCATAGAGCCCTGTAGAACAAACTCTTTTCTGTCCGAAGTTTTATTTTAGAATAAAAACCATCGTAAAATTAAAGGTATTTTTTTTAAATATTTATCATTTACAGAAAGACAAACGATAATGATGAACACTAGCCAACAAAATTCGGATCATTTAATGATGAAGTTAAATGTAAAAAAAAAATTGAATATACTTTCTTCAGGTCAAAGTGTAAATGTAAAGTGAGGAACGAAGGTTAGTATTTTATTTTTGTGTGATATACATCCGTAACAACTCATAGATTATTGCAAATGAAAACTACATTAATTTCTGTTTTCTTTTTTTTGTAAGGTGATTGCCAAGGTTTTATTATGCATCTTTTTTTCTTTTCCATGATTATTGGTTAATATGATAATTGACAAAGCATAATATCGAGATACAATCATTAGTATGATTTTTTTTTTTTTATGTATATATATCACATATTATTTTTTGACATATGAAATAAAACATATAAAAGAAATAAGAAGATATGTGAACAAAAAAAGAAATATAAAGGATATGAATGTATTAATCATATATTTTGTATTTCATGTAATTACAACAAAACAATAAAGTCTATTATGAGACTTGACAAAGAAAGAAGAATGATTGACATGAAATAGATTTCGATTCAAAATATACACAATGGAAAAAAAAAAGTAGATTACAAAGTTCGAATAGTCCTCTTCAAGAATGTAACGTATTTATTTTTAAGATCCCTCACCGTTCTTAAAATTAACACTACAATCGATTTTGATCTTGTTTCTATTCAAAATTGAATCTGCAAACGATTATATAATATTGAACTGAAATTTTGTGAATATTTTCAGGTATCTCATTATCACAGTTCGAAAGAAATGTCAATCCTCTTTCTTATGGTTTGTCGGAGTAATAACAATTTTGCTATGCACGTTGAAAAAAAATGAAGAGACCTTTCACAGCTTCAAGGTCATGAGAAGGAAAATGTTTTTTTTTATCAAAATTTCACTACTTGTTCACAGAATTTCGCAGTTTCATTTAGTAATACAAGTCTCAAAAAGTTAATAAAGAAGAAATTAAGAAAAAAAAGACAACTGACTCAGTCTCTGGAAGCAATTGGAGATGTCAAAATTATTATAACTCCGATAGATAATAAGATATGAGGCTGATTTTGTTTTTTGTGCATATGACTAGAGAGCCTGCATATGTACACAAAATGTCAGCTCAATATCATGTAACAGCTTGAAGATCCTATTTTGCTGGGAACAGGAACCTGAATAAATAAATGGAACAAGCTGTTCGTAGATGTATCGCAACTAGAGATATGCAGAATCAGGACTGGAACCCAAGTTTATAGTAAAATATGCTACGGTTTGAAGCAAATTATCTGATAAATCATATGAATTAGAACATAAGTCAAGAGAGATAACCTCAAAAAAAGAATTATTTTAGATGTGATACAAATAAATTCTGAGATAGTTTTCTCTAGATCGAGACCGAGCCAAAAAAAAATTGATCTCACACATATCTAATCATACCATATTGAATAGATTAATATCAAGACACACAATTGCTGTTTACTACATTTATAAATGTCTCAATTGTATAAAATAGAAAATGTTTGTCAAAAGATAACATCTTCTTTTTAACTGGAAACTGTTTAAAGAATGTCTTGCTAATACAAAGTAGTTTTACTATGGTGAACTATAATACAACGAATGTTAGAGAGTTTGATCAATAACAAAATATACATATGGTGTTAACGGGTCTACGACACAGTAGTTTTAGTGCATTAGCTAAAAATGATAAAGAGGAGAAGGAAGAAAAGAAAACCATGCACTTGTGTTTATTTAAAAGAAGTAACATAGTAATCGAGACTGTAAAAAAACAAAATTCAAGTTCAGAGTAGAGAGATGTTCACTAATAGAAGTTTCACTATAATTTTTTTATCTGCAATGACATAAATTCAGTTCGGATTAAACTGACATTTGGAATATCTTTGGTATATACATATGTATATCTAAGTGATCGATGTTTTGTTTATAAATGATCTAAGTATCAAATTGAATGTTTCTTGATGATCATATCTGGTTTTGTTCGTTTGTAATAGAAACACAAAGATTAAACATGGCAACAATTAATCTATAAATCAACATTTGTGTTTTTTTTTTTTCTTTGATACATTCATACACAATGATATTGTTCAAATGCATACCGGATATATATATGATATACGTACAGAATGTAGATCACCAGAAAGCTATTTTCTTTGATTTAAACAGCTGTTAAGATGAATAACAAGATTCGTTATGTAACGTGTGGACTAGAATAAATGGACGAATTTTGTATTTTTAAAAACAAAATATACCACAAAATGCAGCATTAAAAATTCTATAATTTACAAAGAATAGTTTATTTTATGTATACGCCTGTAGTTTTTAATATGAACAAAATTCTATGTGATCAATTTTCGACGTACTGCAAACAAGATTACATAATGATTTCTTTTTTTCTTCTTATTGTATTAATTAATAAATTATAGTTTTTTAACTTTATTCTGACTCATCCATTATTTTATTAGTTTCTCCTTTGATTAAATAGTCTTGTTATTAATTTAATAAAGCTAAATAATTGAATGATATTCATCTAAATGATATTAAACATATGTACATATTGAAATAGTAGCGGTTTGTCTCAAACAATTACTTTAGTTCAAATTATAGTTGTCTGTTGAGCTTATCAAATCCATTGATCGGACACAAGAGAGTGAAAGTAAGAGACAATTGTCTGATGTACTCGTGTCCAATATTGCATCTATTCCCCAACCATAAATGATAATCTGACTAGATACTCTTTTTCTATTCTTACACCGAGGTGTCACTTAACACAAAATATAAGCATGCATACGCGCACCCACACACCATTGAATTCAATTGATATATATCGCGAAATAGCGAAGAGAAGAAAGAAGAAGTAGTAGTAATATAAGTATAAAGAATATGAGCTCGATTGCCTTGTGTAAATAATGATAGTTGAAAAAAGTCAGGTGACAATTTAATCGACTTGATAATATTGACAACTTCATATTGTCTATTAGATGGATAGAAATAAATAAGAGAAGTTAGTTTTTACACTTTAATATAAATCATTTTCTTTTTCAATTTTATGTGTCAAATAAATTGAAATTTCTTGTGATATTATCGAAATTAAAGCAATTGTTCGTTCAATCTTTCAATTCTAATTTCTGTTCATCAGTGTTGTAATCAAGGATGGGCTAGGCCAAGCACCGTCCTGCTACCCACGATCTTCTAGTTATCCTCCACTACAAATAAGTATCTTCGCTCCGAACGTTATTGAAAGTTGTAAATAGAAGATATTAAAATTTTTCTCTCTTAATATTATGCTGTTAAGTAATTATAAAAGAGCCTTCCGTATATTAGTAACAGAGCCAAGGGTGACTAACATTTAAGTTTCTCATAGAACTGAGACGATTCTATATTATAAGACGAAGAAAATATTTCAAACAGAATCTGACCTTTTTTGTACACTCAACTAGGTTCTCTCTCGCACCTAATAACCGATAGTTGTTTGTATTCATTTGGGTTTTTGTTAAACATATTTTTTTGTAAATTTCATCGATGGATATATGCACACAGTTTCTGACATAGTATAAAATAAAATTCAATGATTGGCTTCTAAGAAAATCTAATTGACCAATCTGATATTTCTTTCTCACACCCATATATACACACACACATATATATATATATATATACATTTATGATTCTCTCGTTCGATGGGCTTGAAACTAGGCCATATGTAGGAAGGCAGACATCAAACAGAAGAGAGGGAAAAAAAAAAGAAGGTAGGCGAATAGAGTCTCTCATGTCTGGTTTATTCTCAGAGAGAGAGAGAGTAAAAAAAAGTGTATATGTCTGTCTAGATATGGGTTATTCATTGGTGACCATGTTGATCTTATTTCAAGTTAATGAGTTATTTAGTATAGAAGAGAAAGAGAGAGAGAGAATCGCATTATCCTAAAAAAAATATTCTCAAAATAATAAAAACCTCAATGATCGACACACATACAGGTATGAGATAACTTCATGAGAATCTGGATATGCGCACGTACTAAATTATTGACCTCGAACTTCGTTCGATCTAGACAATGAATTTGAACTTTAGTTTCAAAAAAAAATTAAAAAAAAGAACGAAATTATGTTGATATTCTCCCATCTATACAAATAATTAACTAAAATTGAAGTAGATCATCACTAGTCAAACCAAAAAGAAAAAAAAAAAATTTCACTTGTTTATTTGTATACATTAGTCTAGTGTCCTCAAAAACATACGGGTGCAATATAAGCAGTAGAGAGTAGTATATATCACATGACACCCATGATCAACATAAAGTATGCTTTTATGAGAGTATGTGCATCATTGGAAATGGGTGGATAATATAGATAGATATGTATATATTCATCAGTTCATATAATTAAAATAGACAGAAAAAACGAATAGTTGACCATTATAATGATCATTAGATTTATGGTTGAAAAATAAATGAGTCGATTCTTTTTTTTTTTTTTGCTCTTTATATTTATGTTTTTATAGATTAGTAAGCCTTAAAAGAGGATGATGCAATACGATTTTATTGATGAATCAACAGATATAGAATGTAGAAATGGTTTAGAAACGAAAGAAAATATGAATTTTTATCAAACATATCAACCACAAGACAGGTATAGAAGATAAGTTTTTTTTCTTGTTCTTCTTCTTTTTTGCTACAAGAAAAACAAAATCAATCTTGTTTAGTTTTCTTAAAACAACAATATCTAATAGTAATATGATAACAACAAGTGATATATGGCAAACTTCATCATCAAATAGTAATACATTAAATCAATCATTTTATTTTCCATCATCATTTGATTTTAATAATTCATCAAATCCTAGTCAATATCATACAATTGATAATAATAATTATGATTATCAAACATTACCTGATGTTTCTCCATCTTATTTAATTGATCCATATTCTCATATGTTTACAAATAATTATTCAATTGATCCATATACAAATCAAACAACATATAATTCAACATCAATGGATTATTCATCATCAACATATATTTCAACAGCAACAACAACAGATTCATATCAACATCTTCATCCAATGTATACGAATACAAATATTACTGTTCCATCTGTATCATCATATATTGATATTCAACCTGATTATCAATCGACAACAACAACAACATCATCACAATGGGACTCGACTATGATGAAAATGCATAGTCATGATGGTATGTATACGAATTCGTCGCGTTCTACATTATCGGCATCCAGAAATGGATGCCAACCTGTCTTTTTTTTCTCTTTTGCCTTTTATAAAAATAAAAATAAAAATGAGAGAAAGAAGATGTCCGTTTTCTAGTCACATCAGCATCGAATTCTAGCAATAGTAGTACTAGTGCTAGCAAACAACCATGTCTCGTATGTCATGAAGAATCGTCCGGCTACCATTTTGGTGCATATACATGTGAATCGTGCAAAGCATTTTATCGACGAGTTACGAAAGGTAAGAAGGAAGATTTCATCGATTTTTAACAGTTGATTACAGAATGCTATAGACATTAGAAAGGTACTACTGAGGAAAGATCCTCAAGTGTGAATCGCCGATCGAGTTCATATGCAGGTCTTATCGAAACTAGAAGAATTCGTCTTCATACAGAGTTCTTTTGAAGTTATAGCTATTTTATTGGCTTTTGGATCTCTGCTGGTCAAATATTGAATGAAGAATATGCATTCGAAACTATATCTATAAACAGATCTCACAGCTAAAATGAATGATCCTTTCTAGAGATATCAAATGGGGAAAAAATATCAGTTTCTATAGAAAGGCAAGAAAAATTAAATCTTTTTTAGCGTTGAATATCTTTAGAAGATATCATCGATTTTGGCTGTGAGATTTATTTATAGATACAGTTTCGGATGCATATTTCTTCATTCGATACTTGATCAGAGGTGCAAAAGCCAATAAAACAGCTACAACTTCAGAAAGATTTCGTATAGGGTCGAATTCTTCTAGTCTCATCGATTCACACTTAAGGTTCATTCCTCATGAGATAATTCTCTCAGCAGGATACCCAATCAAGATCGTGTGACATACTAGTAATCAGGTTACCTTAAAAACCGTTTTCAACTGATCAATCACTTTTATATTTGGACTTTATGCATAAAGTAGACTCCAGTGAGATATAAAAACCTTCAAACGGATAAGTCTTCTTAGACCTTCTACCCAGAGTTATAGACATTTCACTAGAATTTCAACCTTTGGCTTGGTATATACTGGGCATCGGCAGGACCGCCTTTTTCTATGGTCTCGGTCTCAATGAAAATGTTTTATTGCTTCTGTTCTCCATTTCATTTCTAGAAAAAAAAAGATTTTTCTCTAATAATCTATATGATTCTTTGAATACATATAAAATTAACATTGTTGATTTTGAGAAAATAATAGTATGAGCATACCTTTTATATATGTACATTAAAACTAAAATACAAAGCCACTTCTGTGTCTTACTTAAGATTTTCCTTGTTTCTGTCCGTGTGATACTATTCTCAGGCTATTGATTGTTGTTTTTTGGATGCATCCTTACTATTTGATATAAAAGCGCTTGTCCTTCATGCAGTCATTCCGACATTGAATCGTCTTTTAATTTGATGATATGTCATTATCAGTTTTTGCTTATCAACATTTAATTACTATGTATTAAAGAAAGTTCACTCATTCTTGCATGACAATAATGATATGTTTATAATTTCTATTGAATCATAATTTTTATTTTTTAATAAATAGATCCACTTATCGAAATTAAACATTCTTGTGAAGTTCCATTACCTAATATAACTAAATCCAATCGAAAAGATTGTCGAGCATGTCGTAAAGCTAAATGTGATCGAGTAGGAATGACAGCTATGCCAAAAGATCGTGCGTCACGAACAACAACAACAACAAAAACTACTTATAAAATTCCTTCAATACCAATTACAGATCTTCTTGAACAACTTGGTCATGATTTAACTTATGATCAATTATCAACATCATCAGCATTAGAAAATATTCTTCGTATAATTGATTTACCATCAATAATTCCAATTAATTTTGATTATCATACACTTTATATGAATGCTATTCAAATATGGAGAAATCAATATAATCATTCATCACAAATTATATCTAATATTGCATTAAATGATATATTTGCTGTATTACTTTTTCTTTTTCATGCTTTTATAACAATGACAGAAAATGATGAAGATAAATCAATAAATAATAGTAAATTTGATAAACTTGTTAATATACTTCAACAAGAAATTTATCGTTTAACCGGTACTGATCATCGATCAGCTTGTCGAATAAAAGCTTTATTTATGAAATGTTATGTTGCACTTGCTCAATATCCAAATAGTACAAATCTTTTTGTTAATAGTAATATATCCCAATCACAATTTATATCTTATCAACAATATCCAGTTTATGGTCAATAATAAATAACTCTTTATGTTGTGCCATGTTCTTTTTTTTTTTTTGTTTTCTTTTTTTTTCTGTTAAATTTCATTGTTTGTTCATTATTCGAATAGTAAACTTCTGTGTATTTCACAATAACAGCAAAAGAAAGAAAGAGATAAGATACTATGATCCCACTACATACAAAAAAAAAATACAGCATAGAAAGACAAAAGGACATTTATTATCTGTTTATACAAAGAACAAAAAAAAGGAAAGAAAAAAAAAAAGATGGAAAATTTTTTTTTTCTTTATGAGAATATACTCGAATTTGACCATGCTGTTCGCCGTTTTTCAATATCATGAATAAGATCAGAACGTTTTTCTTCACGATCTCGTAAAACTTGTGCTCTATGATCAGATTCTTCACGAAATTTACGTGTTATAACATCTTTATATAAACGATCGAATTCTTGAGAAAGAACATCATCATGATGATTACGATTACGTTGAACATCGTCATATTGTCGACGTTGCTATAAAAGCAAAAAA